CTTGCTTGGCTCTCGGTGGGGCTTCCAACGGCTCTCGGTGACGGCTCTCGGTGGCTCTCCGTGGGGCTTCCTACGGCTCTCGGTGGGGCTTCCTACGGCTCTCGGTGGGGCTTGCTTGGCTCTCGGGCTTCCTACGGCTCTCGGTGGGGCTTGCTTGGCTCTCGGTGGGGCTTCCTTCTCGGTGGGGCGACGAGTTTTCCGGGGCTCGGACTATTTTTTCAATTTCGCGACTATATTTTGCAGGTCCCGAGGGTCCCGACGATATTTTCCAGGATCCCGACGATATTTCTGGATTCCCGACTATATTTTTGCAGGTCCCGAGGGTCCCGACGATATTTTCCAGGATCCCGGCGATATTTCTGGATTCCCGACTATATTTCCGGAGTCCCGACGATATTTCCGAAGTCCCGACGATATTTCCGAAGTCCCGACGATATTTCCGGAGTCCCGACGATGTTTTGGCCAGAAATGCATTCCCGACTATATTTTGGGTTGCTTTGATGTCCCGACGATATTTTGCCAGCCCCGACGATTTTTTTTCGGAGCCTGACGATAAAATATAGCCAAAAACATGTCCAGGTGCTGCCTTCCGTTCCCCGCATCATCGGTCTTCAATCGGGGCACACATCGCGATTGACACGCGAACAACCGTGTGTCGGGGCCAGAACGAGGCTGCAGGGGTGCTGGTCGCCTCCGTCCCTGGTGTGTTCTACCTTTATGCCATTGCTTCTGACACAGTTGACACGGTATTGCTGGGGAGGCTCCAACACTTTATGTCGACGCTACTGCACAAATTTGGCCTGCCAGATGCTCTTCTCCCACTGGCCGCCACCACCAGTTTGCCCCGTGCTCTCTATGATACCGATGGATTTGCATCGCCCGATCCAGAGGACGGCGTGCCTACTACAGAGGATCCTGGCCTGACAGCCGAGCTCCGCAGCCAAAGTTGCGCCGCCTCCGTCCCCAAGGCCGATGAGACTGCATGGAGCCAGCGTGTGGCTACATTGCTGGATGCTGTTGACATCCCGCCTGGCCCGCCTGGTGCCAGGGGTCGATGCAATCCCCAGCAAGAGTGTCCCGCCTGAGGAGGAGGATGACTTCGGAGAACAACATGCGATCCTGCGCACCTTTCAGGCCACGGGCAGACGACAGCGGCTCATTGAGGGCCCTGATAGTGCAACGGCTCTACGGGAACTTCTCCCCAGCAGAGAAGATTGCCTCTCCCTCCTACCGCTTCCCCTTTCGCTGCCGGCATGCGAAGTGAAGATCAGCCCTCAGAACTTCGGCGCGCGTGTGGTAGATTTTTCCGATCGCGCACTCATGCTTAGACACTGCACGCCCAGTGAGGCTTTCCGGGTGTGCCTCACACCCATTTTGGCAGTTTCCATTGCCCTTGCTCAGCTCTGTGACCCGGTGCTACGGCTGCCCGAAGGTCGAGTTTTTGATCTTTCGTGGTATGAGTTGGCGCGTCCGGAGATATGGTGGTGGTTGCTATTGGACGAACTGGATGGACTCCGGTTCTCGCTTCCCAATGCCAAAGCGGGTATCAAGTCACCTGTCCGCGACGGTAGCCTCATCCAAATGTCTCTCGCGCCTCGGAGAGGGCCCGCCGAGGCCGGCAAACGCCACCGTGGCACCGGCTCCAACACCCGGCGACCCACGGCTGCAGGCGGATCGCACATAGATCCGCAGCAAGGCACTCCACTTCTCCATTGTGGTGTGTTGCTTGTGCAGCTCGTGTTCTATTTAGCCAGGGCCCTGACCGACGAGCCTGAGGCGGCTCCTCTCTTGCAGCTTGTACGTGTTGCACCAGTCGAGCACAATGGTTTGCAGTTTGTTGAACTCCGAGTCAAGGCGGAAGTCCCGGCCTCTCTGGTTGGCCAACCCCAAATCGCGATTGCTGCCCGCATGATGGAAGGCTTTCATCGAGGACTTCTCCCTGCAAGGCGCGGCGATTTCGATCCACAAATGTTCTCCTACCCTGGCCTCTGTAAGGGCACGTTTCGTCTCCTGCTTCCCCTAGATGATGCCTCCCTGGGATTGCGGGCGCAGCCCGCTCTTCCCCTCCAGTTTGCTGGACTTTTGCACGCCGCATTGTGTCGTCTCCGCACGGCTGCCACCACCCGGGGTTGGGAGCTCAGTGCCGTTGTTGTGTTTTGGCTACGCGGCCCTCGGAAAATGGACTTCTACTTCCCTGTACGCCTGTGGCGCTATGCCCACTTCGATGCATGGGACTGTCGGGCCCAAGTTCTGATCCATCGCTTAGTGGCACAGGAATCCAACCAGGGTGCTTTGCCCGACGGTAACCAACCACGGTATCGTCTCGGGCACACGTGGGGACAAGACGAGTGGCGTGCAGCGGCCCATGCTTTCATCGAACAGGGTGGACTTGGCCCTGGCATCCAGCTCCCATTCATTTCCACTGAGCTTATGCCGCATCTTCATGAACCAGACCTAGACACCCTCCAGTACGGCTTCCACCGTCTCAAAGACTTGTATGATGAGGGCCAGTATCAATTGCTGTACCTTCTGCGAGAATCCCATTTTCCACGAAGTGGCAACGACATGCAGCGCGTGCTCGATCAATGGCCCCCTACCTAGGAGCGAGGCCCTTTCAGACCTTGGACTCATTGGCTGGCCACAGTGTCCAACCTTTCGACATACGTCGACGGGTCTTGCGATTGCCGCTGGCCATGGGCTTCTGGACTTGTGGATTTTTTCCGTGCACGATCGGGACACAACAGGACCTCGGGGCCGACCGTTGTTCGACGGAACTAGAACGGCGGCCGGAGCCTTGACTTGGGCTCCACTGACGGTCTTGGACAACTTTGGGCGACGGCCCACTGTTGTTGTGGAACGGTCGCTGAGGACCCGTAGCTGGTGCTGAACGGCAAACACCGGCAAAGCCTGTGCGCCGCAGCTAGTTCCGCCCTCTTTAATTAGGTATCTTGTTTCACCGCTGTTTTCGTTTGTTTGATGGTTTGTTTGTTTGTAGGGACCGAGTGCTACAGCCGTAGTCGACGAGGCCCGCATACGCCAAAAAAAGTTTGAACCTGGGTTCGGAACCCAGGTTGGAACCCAGGTTTGAACCTGGGTTGAACGTTAGGTTCAACCTGGGTTCAAACCTGGGTTCAACCTGGATTGGAACCTGGGTTGAATCCTGGGTTGGAACCTGGGTTGGAACCTGGGTTAGAACCTAGGTTGGAACCTGGGTTGAAACTTGGGTTTTGAACCTGGGATACTGCGTTTGAACCTGAGTTGGCAGGTTTTCAAATTTTGGAGAGTGCAATTTACAAAAACGAGCAGGTTTTAAGCTTCCCAAAGCGCTTTGGAACACAGATGAGTGGCAGGTAGTCTGCTCTCAGCAGTGTAACGGTCCCACAGGCTGCCAGGCGGAAACTGCAGAATATGGCGAGCACGGGCAGCGTTTGATTACTGTCGGACAGACTCACTTATGCGGGACAGCAGTCTGCTGCTATCTCCTTTGTGTGTGGTCCGCACCGCCCATGCAATGTTGGATTCACCGCTGAACACGCGGAAATGACTGTGTTGCAGCGCCTTTGAGCGCCTGTCCCGGAGATCGCATTACAGCACCCGCACAGTGGGTGTCTTCATCTTTTTGGCGGCCTTGCGACCCAGCCCATTAATTGTTGAAGGTTTTTCGGCAGGGAGCCACACGGGAGCGGTGCTAGCTCTCCTTGCGCACAGAGTGTGGAGGCGCATCCCGCCCCACGGCCCAGCAATTCTGCTGTGAGCCAAGCAGTTGCGCCATATCTTCAAACTTGGCGCCCTGGGCATGCTGGACTTCATCTTTGAACACATCGGGCTTCCGATCACTCTGTGGCTAGTTCACGCTAGTGAAGACCGACTTTGTCCCTTTCGGCCATCGGCGGGACTCCAGAACAGTTGAACGGGGCAGATGTCCAGGTGCAGGAATATGCCTTTTGGAAGAAATGGTTTGTTGAAGAAATATTTCTTGCAGAAGCATTTGATTTTTGCAGGAAACAAAAAGACAATATCTGTCCACAGGATCTGTTTGTTGTCTGTCGCAGGTGCAGTTTCGAGATCTGTAACATTCTTTGTGGAAGCTTTTCAATCCTATGGCAGAACTCAAGCAAAGAAGACGCAAAAGAAAATGCAAGCTTCAGTCTTGCATTTCGCCAGCGGACTACAAATTCTTGCATCCCGATCAGAAGCAGACTGCAAAATTCTGCGCTCCGATTCTCTGGAAATCCGTTGCATTCCATCTCTGGGAGTGGGCTGTATTTCTTAGAGTTCGAGGTTCCAGATTGACTTCTGGCACTGTGGAGAAACTTTGTCAGCAGACGTAGAAAGCAAAAATTGGGAACTGTTCGGGCAGGACAAGCTGGAAGCAGGCGGTTCTTGTGAAAGTTCAAGTTTGTCGAGAGTTCAAGTCTTTCCAGCTGTCAACTTTTATTGCCAGGGCCCGTGCACAAGGGGTTTAGCAGTGTTTCTGCAGAGCTCGGTTCAGGAGCCACCTTTGGTGCTACATTCATTGAATTTCTTCTTGTTGTTGTTGTTGTTCTTCTTCTTATTGTTGTTGTTCTTCTTCTTGTTGATCTTGTTGTTGCTGCTTGTTGTCTCTGCTTTGTTGTTTCTGTGTTGTTTTGGTTGTTGGGTTTTGCGTGGTGAGCAGCCATGAATGATATGGTGTGGTTGTTTGCTGGCAGCAGCAAACAGAAGTCATGCCTTTCCAGCTGTCAACTTTTATTGCCAGGGCCCGTGCACAAGGGGTTTAGCAGTGTTTCTGCAAAAAGAGAGCTCGGTTCAGGAGCCACCTTTGGTGCTACATTCATTGAATTTCTTGTTCTGCCAGCAAACAGAAGTCATGCAATGGAGCGAAGAGTCAGTGTGTGATCAATGAAGTGCTTCTTATAGTGGAAAGATTGAAACATTGCATGATTTTGTTGAATTTTCATTGCTTGCAGTTTTGTGCACAAGCTTCCAAACAGTTCAGTGACAGAATCCTTGCAACCGCCATGGATGCGAACTCTGAGGAGTATGCGACGAAGGTTTGGTGCTCCAACAACCGTGCTCCTTGGTTTCTCATTTGGCTTGGATTGCTTTGCCTTCCAAGGCAATGTTCCCGAGGTCATAACTGGAAGTTCAGCAACAACAAAGACGGTGCATATTGCCATTTGCACTGCACAGCAAAGCTGGACGAGGTGTATCCGGTTTCGGACGAGGAGGATGAGGAAGAGAAAGCACCGGTTCACAAACGGTGTAACTATAGGAAGTCCTGGCGCGATCATGGGTTCTTCCATTACTACTTGCCATGTTCGCTTACACCGGCCAAATACTTGCGAGCCTTGTATTGGTTTTCAGATGCGCCTCAAAAGCAGATCCTGAAAGAAACAGGCTTGAAAATCAAAGTATGGGCGCAGATTCGGAATCGCCTTCGCGCTCTTTTGTGGCTTGTCATGCAAACACATGCTGGACGAGTGCAGCTAGGTGGGCAGGCAGATCGTGTTGTGGTTGTTGATGAAACTTTTTTCACAAAGAAGAAGGTCAATGCTGGCGGGTTTGTTGGTCGTACCACGCTTGGTCACAAAACCATCGTCATGGGTTTTCTGGAGCTGCAGCTGTCTACTCGCAAAGCCACTGGTGCCTGCGTGCTGATTGAAATCCCAAATCGCAAGCAAGCAACCTTGAAGCGAGAGATTCAAAGGCATGTGGCTCCTGGATCGCTCATTTTCACAGACCGTCACAAGTCGTACCACTTTCTGTCTCGTCCGAACAGTGGCTTTGTGCATCGGGCTGTGAACTGTGAACCACAGCCGGGGCGAGTTTTCCCGCGCGGAGCGCATCTTCGGAGAAGACGTCGTGGTGACCACCAACTCCGTGGAAGGCTTGTTTGGTCGGCTCAAGCAATATCTGCGACAACGCAAATATGGCAAGGTCGGGAAGCCAGCTTACGGTGAGCTGCTGGCGGAGTTCATGTGGCGCCAAAGGTGTTCAGCTTTCAGAGCAGAGCCTTTACGGAAATTTTTCGGTGAGATCCAAGCTTGGCAGAACCAGCATCCACGACGTCCTGAGGCAGCCAGGTATCGGTTTAGTTTAGTGCTTCATCGCGCTGGGCTTGACATACTGTCTCTGGGATTTCGGATTTCTCAAACTCGTGGGTTGGCAGAGTGAGTGAGTAAGCTCGCAGTCCCAAGTAAGCCTAGTTCATTGAATTTTGCGAGAACAAGACTTTCTGGCCAAGGTTCAGAACCCTTTCTCAGTCGACGACATTCCTGTGGACATCCTGAATGACTTTCAAAGCCTTCTGGACGACCCAGAAGATGTTCCCGCTGATCGCGGTGATGGTGTAAGCCCTTCAGAAAATGTTCCTGCTCATGATGGTCGAGATGCAAGCCCGCAGAGACCGGCGCCGCCTTTGATGCAAGCTGCAGCCGAGCCTTCTCAACCTCCTGCCTTCAAGCCACCCTCGCCTTCCATCCCCTGTAACGTGAAAGCAGAGGCAAGTAGCGACTCCGACTTGGAAGTTCTCTACATTAAACCTGCGCCCAAACGACCAAGACGTTCTTCTGACCCCGTGGTGCCGGTGAAGTTAGAGGAGGATGCCAGTCGATGTGCGCAGCTGCCGCTGGCTACTTCGAGTACGGGGGCCGGGAGTAAAGTGAGTAAAGATGTCAAGGTCTTCTGTCAGCAAGGTCATGATCTGAAGTTGGTTCCGCCGCCTGCAAATGTTATCCTGAACCAAAGCGAGTATGCATACTTTAACGTCAGCTGTGATGTGTGTGGCACTCAAATCGTGGGTGATTTCCACAGGTGTGATGTTTGTAAACTGGACTACTGCTTTGCTTGTGCACAGACTAAGCCAGCTGGAAAGCGCAGGGCGCGCAGCTGAGTTTGGGTTTTGCCTGCGATGTTATCTCGTCGCCAAACAGGTGGAGGTAGCAGCTCGCATCTGCAGACCCGACGCCGAAAGATGCGTCAGAGAAAAGAAGAAGTGCGAGGGCGACCTTCTGCTAATCTACAAGTCTGACAGTGGTGGGTTGTTTGAGCTTCAGGTGGTTTCTGAGGGCGTCGGTTTGCGGTTCTGGTGTTTTTCTCGATGGCTGTTCTGAAACGTCAGTTTGGGGATCTGTGCTAGCTTGTGATTTGTTTTACCCAGATGCGCGTGGATGTGAACAACAATTAGAAGTGTGAGACATGCTGTGGCTGTGCGGGCTGGACAGTTCCTTCCAAAGGGACTTTCTCACTGGTGTCCTTGTGCTGGTCGAATCCGTTGTTCGTCTGTTGCCTGCTGCATCTTCTTTCTTGCGGCAGAGATGCTGCAACAAAAACTTCGACGGTTTCCTAGTGGAAGCTGTTTCCTACGGGTGGCCGTTTCCTGCAGAAGGCCGTTTCCTGTGGCAGGCCGTTTCCTACGCCTGTGGTGGCCTGGTATGGCTCACCGGGGGAACGTCGGCCGCTCTGGTCTCGCCTGCCACGGCTACGGCCATTTACTGGGGCGATTGGAAGGCCTTCCCCCAGAGGTGAATGCCTCGTGGTGCAAGGCGCTCTTGCCGCTCATCAATGACCAGGATTATGCCATTACTGTCACTGCGGAAACATGCACGAGCTTTGGCGCATACGTCCTGAACGTCTCGGCGTCGTCCCAGACGGGAGATGTCCGTAACTGGTTCTCGCATGCTGAGCCGACAGTACCCGCAGGAAGGCTCGGTTGTTGTCTTTGAGGTGGGAGTGCCGCCAGCGCAGAAGCTCGTCGGGGTCTTTACGGAGCTCTACATCCCGCAGAAGGAACGAACAGTCCTATGACCGGCACCTTCGCAAGCTCACTCCAGGATATGTGGAGCTGCTGGCGCAGGAGTGCCCGGGATTTCTTGGACCGCTGCCCACCATGCAGCAGTCGCAGTCGGTAACGCTCCCCTACCACCGCCTGGTGTGCCTCAAATCTGGCGGGGGCCTTGACTTGTTTCGTAGGGTCCTGGAGCTTCCGAATAGTCGCGTTTCTTTGTCGCTCGGCGTGCCTACACCTAATGCCACGAAGCCGATCGTGCACAGTGGCACGCCCTTCGCCGTTGAGGTGCATATGGTTTTGCTCTTCCTGCAGGCGTGTCGCATCGTTGTGGCGGAAGACTTGTTTGACAAGGACAGTGCTGCCTCCGCCAACTGGTCAGCTAGGGTGAAGCCACATTCGTGGCGTTCACAGCGTGAGGTCGGCCATTCGTGGGAGGTCCCCCGCGGTGAAGTGCCGGGGGTCTACATTGATGCGGCCAACTTAAGGGGCAAGGCATTCTGTGAGCTGATCAGTCGGTTGGTGGAAGATCCGGACGGCCTCCTTCTCGCTCACATCCAGGCGATATTGGTGGCGCGAGGCTGTAACCGCACCTCCCTCAACATACTTGGTTGCCCAGGCGCGTCCAAAACCTTCTCACTTCTTCTTGCAATGATGTGCATTGATGCCGTCCTGGACTTTCCAGTGGTATGGACATCCCAACAGCATGCGGCAGTTTTTACGCCGTACATGCTTGCGTTCCAGGCTTAGCTCGTTTCATCGATGCAAAAACACAGAAGGAAGCTTGCTTCAAGATTCTTGTTTTTGTACAAAAAACTTTTGGGTGTTGCTGGTTTGCTAGAACCAAGCTGCAGAAGCCCCACATGTCATTTGGTCCTTGTATTTCTTTAGTTAGCGTTTTGCTGCACCGGAAACATGATACGGAACTCCATCTGGTTGATCAGGAAAAGTCAATGTATCATTTACAAACACAGATGATGAATGTACGTGCAATGTGTTCGGCTTTCATTCAGTACAGATGTTAGCGTCCTCAAACACCAAAGCAAAGCGAGGCCCCACAAGCAACGACTTGGTTTGGTCTTTGGAAACAAGGTTTCTGTGCACATGCCGTGCCACATCTCCACACTTTAGCAGATTCCTGCTTTTTTTTTGCAAAAACGGCGTTGATTTTCGGTTTTCTTGCTTCCAACACTTAGCATCGAGCATCATACTGGTTTGCTTGGTTTCTAGCACATGAGCTTGTTCATGCTGGCTACATTGAGAGGAGCAATGGCAAAAAGTTATGGCCATGCATGCCATCATATTTTGATGTGGGCACAAATAAAATGCATCAGAATGAGTTCATCTTGCAGCACCAAAAAGCGAGCAGGTCCGTCAGTCCCACATTCGACAATTAAGTGGCGTCATGGGGGTGATGGATTGTTGAAGACTGATCAAACTTGTCGGCCAGCAAAGTTAGCGTTTAAGGAGTTTTACACATCAACCGGCATTATGGATAGAGGGCGCTTCACGGGTGAGACATGCGGGCTGTGATCAAACAGGTGGAAATGAGCGACCCGCTCGCATCTTGTAACGTGACCATGCAACAAAGAACAAACAGTCCGCCGCTTTTGAGAAGAAGACAATTCCGAATTCTACAATCGATACATTCGTTTTGTTTCCCAAACGGGATCCCGCACAATTTGATCACCTTATCAAGTAGACAAGCCTTTCGACGAGTGTGCTGCATTGTAAGCTAGCTGCAACCATTTTTCCCATTAACACAGTACCTCCCAAGCGGGGCGCCCACTGTATCATCCAAGTTGGCACCCGAGAGCTTGCCAAAAATGCGGTATGCACACGGGCCGGCATTGCCCCTGGGTTAATGGCGACGGTCGCCAAATCCACAAGCAATGACTCATGCCGAGAGCGGCGTGTCAAAATTCGACCTGTGAAAGCAACTTATGCCACAAGGCATTTTCTGGGGCCTGACTTTGTCGGGCTTGTGTGACAGTGATCAGTGAGTTGTTGATGTTTCTGCTGTTGTCATGCTCGCTGCTTGGCTCTCTAGATCTCTTCCAAATCCCTTCCAGGCCGACGCAGCGCATCTCAAACCATACGCTTGTGCGCTTAAATTGTGCCAACAGGTTGGGTAGCGCCTTGGTGCTGGTTCTATGGCAACGGAGGACACCAAGACTTGCACCATAGTCACAGGTAGCAAGTATTGCCAATCCGCAGTGCCACGCGACTCGGGTGACGGGTTTGATTCCAGCACTGGCACCGCAAAGGGAGTGTTACGATGCAGTGAAGCAACCCCAGATGCTGCAACGAATCGTTAAGCCGAGCTCACTGTCACATTGTGGATTTGAGCATAGCCGAATTGCCCCAGGCTGCATTTCGCTTTCTAGCAGTCGAGCATGGGATCTTCAGTGCGCGTGATTTTCAAACCAACTTGATTCATGTCAGAGGAGCAGCTCAACAGAACTCAAATTGGATCGTTGCGAGCAGTGCAGCCGGGTGTAGCTGGCACTTGCAGTAGTACCGAACACCGCTGCTCCCACGAGTTGTGCATGAGCTCTTTCGGGGGAACCAGAGGTCATTGTGCATCTTCTTTGTGCTGTCGCGATGATCCCTGGAAAGTGCTTCATCGAAACGACATCGAAGGCTCGCGCTAGGAAGACACATACCGCGCGATTCATGCCAGGAGCCACGTGATGAAGACGAAGATGTCGAAGGTGACCAGGCTGTGTGGACCTTGGCTTCTGCTTGGTTTGTGAGCCTGGTGGAGGTTTTGAAGGACGCTGCTCTGCTTTCTTGGGCATTGTTAAGGACGGCACCCTGGACCCGGAGCTGCTGGCCGCATGTATGAGGCCAGATGTCAACATGTGCCACGAAGCAAGCGACGTGTGGGTTCATTGTCTTCGTTCTGTGGCTAGACACTGTTCCTGGGCAGTTCTGTTGCAAGCGAGTTCGCACTCATGCCATGCTACAGGCATCAGCGTTTTCTCGACCACCATAGTCTTGGCTTTTTGTCGCAGGAATGACACTGAAGCGGCCAAGCGACTGATCGAGCAGGCGCATCTAAGATAGACAGGACGGCTGCACAAAGCATGCACCTCTTTCTGTTGTCAGGGAGCGAATCCCTGCTGCGAAGACCAGCGGCAGTGGCTCGATGCTGTCAGACATGCCAAGAGCGTCGGCCGCGAGAGTGCACACGGCACCCCACACGGCATGTCAAAAGGTGGAGCCCGCTGATCTGGGCTGCCTCGCACGGCAACGAGGAAAGAAGATGTCGAAAACCTTGTGAAAAGAGCTCTCCTAAAGCCGCTCTTGGGTGCTTGTGCGTCTCAGGACCTCACCAGACTATTGATCAAACACAATGCCGCGGAGGCAAGAGCTCTCGCCTGGAGACTGTCTGCTGCGGCGACGGTGTGTATTGGAGTAGACTGAAGTAAGTTGCATCTTGAGGGCTGTCACTGTCACCTACACGTACAGTGCGTGTGTCATAGTCTGAAAGAAGTCCTCGCAATTAAATGTGACTGGCAGTCTGCTTGTTACGGTGTTGATCAACCAAGCCTCCGGCAGCAAATTGCACACCAGTGATACAAGCCACACCTAGAATAGTGTGCATTCAGGCTACTGTAGAGGCTCTTGTGATTCCAGTGAGAGGTCTCCGAGCTTCGCAGTTCACAAGCGACAGATCTTCGCCAAGCGCCAAACTTCTTCGTCCCGACAAAAACCGGGGCAAAACTACTTGCAACAGAGGTGAATATCCCAGAAGCCTGCGTAAAAACCGCAGGTGTGCTTTGTGTTTTTTGCGACAATCTGGATCTGAGAATCTCGGGCGCTGACAGCAGGTGAAAATGATGGGACGGTACAGCAATTAGTGAAGGGTGTAATTGGGCACCGAGCTTCTGATTGGGAAGCCAGGTTTTGGTCGCGAACAACTTATTTGCTTGACGCAAGAAGAACATCTGATGAAGGAAAGAGTCAAAACAACGGAACCATAAAAACCAGACTGATGAGGCGATCCAAAAACGTTGCGATTTCTGCAGCGACTGGCCGTCGTAATGAGGATATCGTTGGCTTTCAACATCTTCAGAAAAAAAGACAGAAAACGTGCGGCCAGTATGCCAGCAAACATCTCGGCAGACAGCCAGCCCGGCTTGAATCCATACCCCAACACGAAATCGAGCGCCTATTGAACCATGTGATGTTACTACCACCGTCTGTGTCATGCAAGGACCAAATACGCTATCGGAGGAAACTTTTCAAATTACTGGCAGCATTCTGAAATGAAGGGCGCTTGCCCGTGACAATGCTGCGTACTTTTTCACACCCGAAGATTGAAAACAATTTGGCCTGTGGCACGGAAGCGCCAGGCGAAGGCAGGGTAAGCTGTTGGAGTGCTTGGGTTTACCGGGGATAGGCACGGCTCGAGACAAAGAGAAACAAAGTTTTCCTCAAACTCATCTTGTTCGTGGTTTCCAGGGCTCAAATTCTTGCTCCTTCACATTGGTTTGAACCTAGTGGTGGCGCCCATAGTGGTCTTACGTTGTCGTCCAAGACGCAGTGCAAACTGGCCTTTCGCCTCTGAGCCAAAGGCCCCCATGGTCTGTTTGGGTTATTGTCGTGAGTGTAGTGTGAAAGTAGGCGAAGTCGGTGAAGTTGAAGTCAGCCTCGAACATAGACAGCTGAGTAAGACATCGTTCACGCGCCACTTGTTTAGCAGAAGCGTCTGCTTCGGAGTTCCTTTCAGTCCGCAGGTGTACAAATCTGATGAGACAAAGGCTGGTGTGCCGATATGCAGCTGCGCGTGCAGCGTGCATGCGTGTCCTAAGAGGTGCGCAAGAAGCACAGCCCTCTTCATTGGGCGGCCTTTAAGGGTCATCTCAAGGCTGGAGCAATTGGAAGTGCTGGGACACACAGTAGCGTTTGGTTGCGTTGCATTGAGTTGCGTCGTGCAGTGTTTCTGCAGCCTGTGCTTTCAATTCCCACATGAAGAGGTCCACTAAGCCTGGGCATCCAATAAGCAGGGCGTGAAAGCAGAAGCTCGTGAATCTCGAAGATGCAGCTCGTTAGCTCTGCCAATGCCTGTCCCACCGCCTGGCAATGGTGCACCCTTTGTGGACCACTATGAGGACACGCTGGAGCGCTTCATTCTATGTTTTGTTTCAGTACAACGCAGCTTGCAGGTTCTGGGATGCACGCCAGAGTCATCTGCATCGGAGCTCAAGAGGGCGCCTTGCCAAGCCAAGCTTTCACCACAAAGTCGGTTCACACCGTGCCGGTGAGCTAGGCTTACCACGAGAAGCTTCGTGAGTTTCACCCCGACAAGCGGCCTGAGAGCCGGGGTGAAACTGGTGGACGGGACCGGTCCCGAGACTTCACAAAGACATGCTACAGCTAGCAGCATCAAGCTGCACCGTCTGAGGTGACGCAGGCCGTGCTGGACGCCTGGACCGTGCTGCAGGCACTTGGCCGGGGACATACACGTAGGCGTTTGTTCTGCCGGCACAGACTGCACCCTCCAGGACGCCGAGAAGCGCAAGGCTTATGACGTTATCTGGACCAAGATGAGGAGAATGATTCACTCCGATTTGCACGAAACGCCTCTGCTGGCACAGACTAGAGATCAGCTGCATGATGTGTGCTTTGTGCTGGTGGTACTGCTTTTGGCTTTTGGTTTCACAAGAGACCAGGGCCTAGGGCTTCACATGACAGCACCCTTCCGAAAATGCATTGAAAATTGCATCTTGCAGCGCTCCTTTGCTCAATATCGAACGTTGAGTGTATACGTTCACGTTCACAGCCGCGTTCACTGTGAAATTCATCTCAGACCATCAACATGTCGCAGTCCCCAAATCTAGCGCCGGAATTGGCCAACAGCTTGGGGGCCAGGTGGATCAGCGTCCCAAATTCTCAAAAGCTACCGTGGAGGTGTGAATAGTTCGAAAGGGACATGCCCAAACATATGCGTTTTCAAGCAGTGCACACAATAGATTCGCTGAGTGTGTCGGGGGTTTGTGGTCAAGAGCAAGGTCTATGGTGAAATGTTGATAGCTCGAAGCGCGCAGCACGACAAAGGGCAGAGCCATCAACAACCAGAGTGGCCACACTTCCTCAGCCCGATCAAGGTTGCACCATTGCCTGTAGTGTTCGCCAAATCTCAGACTGAATAGTCTCCGTTTGTTTATCAGGTTGGTATGTACATGTTGAGCGGGGAGGGAATGCAACCAGCACCAGTCTGCAACTTCTCATCATACATCGCTGCTGTCGACCCATGCGGTGTTCGGGCTCAACTTCCACTTTAGACTCAAGAATCGCCCAAAGGAGAGAGCAGTCTGCAGCAGAGTTCGCCGAGGCCCATCTTACAGAGTCAAATTGCGACAGTTGCATGCTGACAAGACCTGCGCATCTGTCTGCATTAATAATGTATGTCGAGACGATAGGGATTTTGCCAGGATCCCCCCGGTATATGTGTGTGTGTGTGTGCGTTGGAGACTGCATGCAGGCTTGTGAAGATGAGTGTCCCGGCTGTGGAGCATGTATGAACCTCTGCCTGCGGCCTTGCGCACTCGCCTGTCGCTGGTTAAACAGGTCCCCTCAAACATGAACTGTTGCTTGCGGGAGCTGTCTATTTGCGAAAACGTCAAATGAGCTGCGGAGGTGTGCACAGAGCACCGGGGACATGTGGTGCTTCCACGACGTTGCACGAACCGGGTGGCGGGTTGTAAAAAGCGGAAAGGCACACTCGAGCAACCTTGAGCGGGAAGTCGGAAGTAGGAAAAGTCAAGATTCAATGCCCAGCCCCGCCTCAAGTTTACCACAGATAACTGTGCTCTGGTGAGGCTCGGCGAAGGGAGGGCAACGAGCTTTACAAGGAAGCTCAGGCAACTTCGCGGCCAAACTATGGGCACGGAGAGTCTCAGATTGACACGTGCCGAGGCGCTGTCCAAGATGTCTGGACCTGATAGCTCTCGCCTCGTAAGATTTGCGGCGCTTTGCAAAGGAACTTTTCCGCTGCTGTTGTCGTTACCGTGGCCTTGTGTGGAATCGAGGTCTGTCCGCAGCAACAGCGGCCTTGACCAAGTACCAGGTGCCCAAGCCTTCCGCGACGCAGCATGCGAATCGGCGGTGTGTCAAACGGTCTGCAGGCAGCCATTGAAAGGTACTCTGAAGGCATTTCTTTGGCACCTCAGGATGGGAGAATGTATCATCAGTTGAGCAACAAGTCATGCGCAGCAACAAGCTTCGCGTGGGAGGATCACCGTCTACGCAGCAACCGTGCGTTGTGCTACAGTGCGCTGAAGGCCCTGTGAATGTCTCGCCGAAGGGTGAGCTCGAGCACAACCATGGTGTCGCGACAGGATAACTGTAAATAACAAAAATCCTGGAAGAGAGTCTTTTCCGGCAAGAAAGGAGGGTGGGGGGTTGGGCAGGGCACGGAGTTGGGAAGGTAGGGGTAGCGGTGGGGGAGTAGAAGGCAGGGTACAGGCGGGAGGCTTAGGGAAGACCTAGAGGGGCCGGACGGGCCCCGGCTTGGCGAGTGTGACTTTTTGGTGGGCTGCACGCGTTTTTGCGTCATTTCTAAACCACAAAAAATGGAAGAGGTAGGGGTAGGGGGTAGGGGTGCCGGGTAGAGGAGGGCTTGAAGGGGGGCGTGCGGGTCTCGGGGGTAGGGGACTGGGCAAGGCGAGAAGGGTGCATGGGGGTCGGTTGGGCAGGTTCCTGAGTCCTTTGAAACCTGAGACAAGGCCACACCTAAAGAGTCACGAGCGCAATGAAGCTTGAAACTTTTGGATGTCAAGGTCAGGGTATTGCTCATTGATTAGGATAGATTGACAGAGTCCTTATTACTCAATCTCTTCAGGCAGTGACTTTAGCTCTGAAATTCATTGGACTGAAACCGAGCATTTATCCGGCGTTGAGCTTCGCATGTTGTTTTGTGAACAGGGCACAGACGTGAGTGCCGGAGCCGCTGTCGGCTTTGTACGGAGCAGAGTGTGAAAACAGGTAGCGCTGCGTCGCATGGTGTGTTGGCCGCTGTCAGATTTCTCTGGCAGCGGAGCCTGATTCGATCCAGGGGCGGCGCGGCGGCGCCGTGGGCTGGGCTGCTCGGCGAGGCGGCCACTTTGAGGTGTTCCGGGGTGCGATCCTGGAGTTTGTGAACTTCGGATACTTTGGGTGTGGCCGCCTGCGAGCGGTGAGAGCCTGGAGCGGCTTGAGACCGTAATCTGCTTCGTGGAGCCGACGATGAGGTCCTACTACGAGGCTTTCGGCGAAGTGACGGGAGGCCTCGATGACTCGATGGGTGAGTCCGAGGAGTCCAGTGATTGGGCGGCTGGGGCTCGAAAATGGAAGTGCCCGAATGGAGGCACAGGGGGTCTCTCCAGTGACAGGGACACTGCGCGGGAGACGAGCGATGATGAGTCGAAGTGGTGGAGTGCATCGCGGCCGCCGAGGGAGAAATGGGACGGCTGGAAGGAGGATGGCTCTTGGGAGGGCTCTTCTCCGGACCGCTGGGAGAGCCGAAGCTATGAGGACCGTGGGGTAGGCAGCTGGCAGCCATCACGAGGCCGGCGTGGCATGAGAACTGGTCGTGGAAGACCCCTTCGGAGGCCGGCCCGGAGCGAGAATGGACCACACTAGGCGCCAGCTCGGGCAAGCGCCTCTTCCAGGAGCACGGCCCGGACGACGGTTACCTGAACCGCGGCGACGTGGAGCCGGACGACGCCAAGGGCACCGTGAAGGTCGCTGGGGAAGGAAAGAAAGGTGGGAAGGTGAGCAGTACCTACCCACCCCGTCTTTAGGGCCAAGCCGCAGGAGAGCTACCTAGAGTGGAAGAGGAGCGTGGAGTTTTGGATTGGTGGTGAGGGGGATCAACTCCCTCTGGAGCTGGTGGGCCCGAGGATGATGGTCCAGTTGAAGGACCGGGCGGCGCAGTTGGTCAAACATTTGACCAACCGCGACGTCAATGGCCCGGGCGGCAAGGAGAAGATCTTCCGAGCTCTGGAGCGGGCGCCTATCATCAAGCAGCTCGACAAGCACCGCGTCGACGAGCACAGGAGAAGGCTTTTGCAGCTGTGCCGGGCCCCTGGCGAGTCGATGGAGTTCTACGTGACCCGGGCCGGGATTTACCGGAGTCACCTGGTGGGGCTCGACAGCTCCCTGGAGATGGGTGAGGCCTTCTACGTCGGTCACCTCCTCGACCACGCGCGCCTCACCAAGCGCGATCGGGCCATGGTCAAGACGAAGGCGGGCTCCGACGTGGATGAGGAACGGGTCGTGGAAGCCCTCATCGACTTGGCGGGCGAGTTGGACGGGGTGGCCGGCTACCCGGTCGGAGCGTCCGTGCCGAACATCGCCCGCAACGGCGAGGAGTGGTTGCTGCAGCGCGGCGACCGCAGAGTGCCCCCGAGAGTGACCGGGCAACCGCGGGGCACCTTTGCAGCCGACTGCCCAGGCGACAGCATCCCGGAGGAGGAGGAGTGGAACGACGATGGTGACACGGCCGAGGTCCCCCCTAAGCTCATGCACTTGGAGAACGAGGCTTTTGGTATGCAGTATAAAGCACGCCAGCGGATTGCGGAGGTGAAGAAAATGCGACAGTTCTTCAAGAAGCGCGAGAATGGTGGGGCGGACAAAGCTGAGAGGCAGAAGCTCATCGCAGAGCAGATGAAGACGAGGCCGTGTCACGCTTGCGGCCAACTTGGGCATTGGTCGAGGGAGTGTCCCAACCAACGTGCTCCCCAGGCCGCCCTGACAGCTAGGACCTCGAAGCCGATGGCTAGCGCTGTGATGTCCCCACCTGCGCAAAGCAGCGACTGGGATCTTTTGGCAGCGCTCTATCAAGGAGCGGCTTTTGACCCACGAGGGCCTTCCGATGAGGCGGCAGACAAGGGGGCTGAGCACCGTGTCTTTTCGGTTGATTTGGACCTAAGGGAGGTGATGTGGTCGCTGCAAGAGTTAGCGTTCAAGGTGATCATTGACCTGGGGTGC